AGTATGAGGACGTAGCGGATTGTTGCTGATGCTGAATCCCCACAGGTTCTGCGTTCTAGCCACGCAAGTCCCACCTGTCCCACCCTGGAGACGTGTCTGCTTCCTCATATCACAAGAAAGTTTCTCAACAGGCTATGTTGGTCTCCCTGGATTTCTCTCACCAAGAGTTAGTAATTGCTCATGTTATTTTTGTTTTAACCTGGGCCAAAAGTTTCTCAGAGATATTATCAATTCCCCTTGTAGACACTGTTATTTCGACTAGTGACATTATAATGGCTGTCCTGGTGGGAAATGAGATCATGTTGGCCCTAACTTATGACTCGAGGGCAGGTGTTTTCTCATACCCTCAGGCACGAACCCTGGCAGTGACAGGCTCACCATCCAGGCATCAGAGGTCTGCTTGGTGAGTATTTTTTCCTTTTAGAAACTGTCAGAAAAACTGACTTTGGATGTTGGAAATTTAATATGCTTTCTTACTTGGGAAGGGATTGTGTACCATATCAAATCTGAAGATTATATACAGAAATCTATGCCCCTCAAGAGAACTCCAATATATCTTATGATTTTACTGTATTTAGAGTTATCCTTTTTCCCTTCCTTTCCTTTTTGCTTTTTGCTTCCTCAGACCTCCTGTCCATCCTTTCTCACTATTAGAATTGCCAGTATTCTCCTCTGTTCCCTTCCAATCTTTTAAACATTTTCTTTATTATTTAAATTGAAGTATAGTTGATATATTATAAAAAAACTTTTCTTCAAATCAGGGACCACAGAACCTCCACTAGAGGGAATATTATGAGAAATAAATAAAATCACATGCATGTCTGGATTTGAGCATAGAAAACAGAAAATGTGGGCTTATTTTTTTTCGTCTTCTCTGTAGCCAACACAGTCTTTAGAAAAACATTTTATAAAGAGCTATCCCTTGGGGCAATGTGAGGAAAAAGGCAGAAAGCGTGTTCTTCTCAGGTTCTTCTTACACCACAGGAAAGGGATGTAATTGTTGACTCTGAGTCACTTAAGGAGAGATGTATTCCTGAATTTATTTCTCAGAACCAATAATGGTTATCAAGCCACCCATTGACGACATCATTAGTGCTGAGGCTGTGTCATAAAATGGACCATGGCATTAAGACAGGAAATCCTGAGTGCGGGGTTCTAATTCAGGATGGTTCCCAATCACAGGCCCAGGTCTGACCCCACCCTGCCCTGGGTGCGAGAGGAAATGAAACATACCAGAGAGAAAAACGTGCTGTGCCAGGGCAGGGCCCAGCAAAAAGCCCATTGAATATAGGGTTATTTTTTACCATTAGTCATTGGTATCTGCAGGGACCACATGAAGATCGCTACCCTGCTGAAGACCAATGCCTACAGAAGGGAAAATCTGAATTAAATTACTTTCCTTACCTTAGCCTTTTCTGTCTGAATATCTGACTTCCCGTTATATCCCCTTTAATGACCGACTTACTTCCCCTTTCCTGCCTTATCTGTGGTGCTCTTGACAAAGGAAACCTGGCTCCAAAGTATCTGGTTGGTTGTGTCCTTAGCCCTCATTTTTCATTCTCATTATCTCCTGTCTAGTTTTCTCTCTCCACACTAGATTTGTTTCTAATGATTACGCTCATTCATCCTAACACAGGAATCTGTGGGCTTACTACACTGTCTGCTTTGGTGTCCATAATTCTGAGCTTCTTGAAGGCAGATTGAAGTGGGGAACCCCTGGAACTGGCTGATGCACCCATTCCCCCAGCTTCTGTGAGTGTTGCTTGCTAAAGCCTTACACCTACACCCCTCTCAGGAGAACTGCCCTCAGGTGCACACCAGCTTCACCTACAAAGTTACCTAAATGATTGTAGCCAGTGGCTGATTGAAACGGGGTTTGTAAGCCCGGACTGCCACCTCAGTGAAGGGCTAACTCTGCTGCAGTGTGAGCCCCTGAGCCTCTGAGGGATCAGGCCAAGACCACACCCTTGCTTAGTGTCCCCCTCACTCCTCTCTCCTGAGAGGTCTCCTTCTGCAAAGCACTGTGATAGCTTCCCTGCTGGGCTCTGCTCCAGGCAACCGGCAGCAGCCATAGTCCTATTTCATAATGCACATGAGCCTCCCCAGAAAAGGCATGAGACCCGCAAATCTGAGCTGGTAAGGCCTGATAGTCATCATCAAAGACATCTCCGAGATGGAGTGTGGGGTCCCTTCAGCACCGTGTGGTTGGGATTGGAAACTGCAGGTGGAGGCCTTCCTACTGCGCAGTTATTCTTGAGCCCCTGGGAATCTACATGATTCCCAGTGAGAGTGACGTCGGGTTTGCCCGCCTGCCCGCCTGCCCGCCTGCGTGCCTCCCTCAGTCCCTGTCTTTTCCTCCCTCCCTCCCTTCCTGCTTTCCCCATTGGTTTTTTTTACAATAACTGTAGTGCAAATGGATTTTTAAGGAAATATGGCTAATCTACGATCTCTCCCATCAAACATCTCAGCTCCTTCCTCAGAATCACAAAGGGCATATATTCTACACATCCACGAAGAAAGGTGAGGTGTCTACTGACTTCTGAGATTCTGGGGTGAGAATTTGTAGACAAGAGGCTGTTTAATTCTTCCTTTTCTGAGAAGACTTCGTGCTTAGGTATAGCGCAGAAGTTGAGAGGAGGAGATCTGGAGATACCGTGCTTGGATGTAAAAGCTACTCCATTACTCGGGTGTGATTTTAGGTGACTTATTAAATATTCTCATCTGAAAATAGGCGATAACAACACCTCTTATTTTGAAAAAGAAGTTAAGACATTAAAATATGTAAAGTACTCTACTTAGGAGAGTGCTTTTCTCCCTTGATTTTGTATATTTGACACAAATGGGTGAGCCAGACTCCCCCACCTCAACTCCCAGGATGTATGCGTAGCATGAATAAATAATTTATTTTCCAAACCAGTGCCATTTGGACTGAACATGGGCTCTCACCAAACTCTACAGGGTGCATTTTTTCCCTTCCCTGTTCAATATTTCAATGGTTCTCCTTTCTCATTGAGAATACTGACTCCCAACATCAACACATTTATTCATTTGCTAAGTAGCAAAACACTTGAAATAGTTTTAGAATTTCTTCATCTAGACTACCACAAACCAACCTACTGAAGAGCTGAGGACTTGCTTGCAGTTCTCCTGCACCTTCTACCTCCCCCAAGACAGGATATATATTCAAATACTGTGTTCATAGTTTTTCTTTTGTTCCTTCTTCACTGGGGTTGTGGTAATCATTGAAATACAATCAGATTCGTTAGTTTCAGTTTTAGTTCTTCATCCCTTCCCATCCTTGGTGACTTTATTTTTAAAAAATGTAGAACGTGAACATGGTCCATAGCCTCAAAAGTATATACAATTTTATTATCAGAGAAGTGTCACTTCCTCCCTTAACTCTTTTAGTCTGTGAGCATGTATTTGTCATCCCTGACTGGTAATCTCTCTCTTATGGAAAGATCACAGCAAGGGTCTGGCTAGTGCCCTTGTTGAGTGTAAGGAGAGGAGAGGGGAAGAGATAGGCAAGGAAGCCCCAGGTGCCACAGAACCACTATGGATCGCGCTGTTTACTGGCACTCCTCTACAAAACTACCCCGGCCAGGGACTCCTCTTGGAACATTGGAGAAGCAGAGCTTGGTGTGCTGGGGGGAAGGGGAGGTGAGGGGATCTCTTCTATAATCTGCCTGGTTTGGTGGAGAAAGAAAGGAGTGAGTGTCCGGGGACAGGTGGCGGTCCTGCATCTGTTCTCAACTCAGCAAAACTTTTAATCTTCCTGGATAACCCCCTTCAATGTCATGTCACCTGGGATGTGTTAACCCAGTGCTATGCATATTGGGCCAAGAAATATCTTCTAAATACAATATAAGACAGCAACCAAATGCAGAATATCAAAACTCTCACTTCAAAATTATCTTTCCTTCTGCATCCCTCAACAAACTTTTCTTAAGTTTCTGCCCAACATACTCTCTTATGATGCCTAAAACCTATTTATATCTACTTTAATATTCCTTTATAATTATAAAGTTATTCATTTTTCCCTCTCTTTTGTTTATTAAGGTATCATTGATACACACTCTTATGAAAGTTTCACAAGAAAAACAATGTGGTTATTACAGTCACCCTTATTATCGAGTCCCCCCCCACGCCTTTGCAGTCACTGTCCATCAGTGTAGTAAGATGCCACAGAGTCCCTATTTGTCTTCCCTGTGACCCCACACACACCATGTGCACAAATCATGATACCCCACAATCCCCTTCTCCCTCCCTCTCCACCCGCCCTGCCCTACGCCCCCCCCTTTGGTAACTGCTAGTCCCTTCTTCATTTTTCCCTCTCTTGACCAAATTTACCAAAATATCAGACTCATTTATGAATTTCATACTTTTAATCAATATAGTTATTTTTATTTCTATTTGTTTAATTTATTCTTTTATCTCCAATGTTTTCTACTACTATCCAGAAAAATTTAGCAAGATGTATATGTTCATTTTTAAATGTTTTTGTCACAGTTGAAAATTAATCCCTCAAATCTATTACATCAGGCAGGCTGATGATGTTATTCAAATTCTCCCTATTTTATTTATTTTTGTGAACTGAGTAACCTTTTCAGAAAGAACACTGGCTAGGACCACAGTATTTTCTGATTTTTAAAGAGAAATAAAAACTCTAAATTGTTTATAAGTTGGCATTAAAAAAGAAGAGAAATATTGGGCACGTAAACTGTCCATTTTGTGCCATTGTGTACCCTATGTTTGGAAAAATGTCATTCATAAATATGCATCCACATACCCTGCATAAAATGCTAGCAAATCATATACAACTTGGAAGGAAAATAATTAATTTTTTCAAAGAAGTTTGAATCAATATTTGTATTTTGCAAATAGGAATAAAGGTGACATTTGTTAATACTGAATTTGCCATACTAATGAAAATAAGACACATACTCTCTTTCTCTTTAGATCATCTGCCTTTGAATAAAATAGTTCTGCTGGGCATTGGCATGGCTTCTGGTGAGTTGGTAATGGGTATTCTCTTCTTCTTCCAGAGTGGAGTTGGGCTTCTAGGCAATTCCTCACTCCTCTATCATTATACATTGACTTTGTTCACTAAACACACTCAAAGACCCACAGATCTAATTTTCAGCCAGTTGGCCTTTGCCAACTTCCTGGTTCTTTTCTCTAGGGGAATCCCTCAGACACTGGCTGCTTTTTGTATGGAATATATCCTGGGAGAAGTTGAGTGTAAGGTTTGCTTTTATGTTCACAGAGTGGCCCGAGGGGTTTCTCTGTGCACCACCTGCCTCTTGAGTGGGTTCCAGGCTGTCATAATCAGCCCGAGTAATTCTAGGTGGGCAGAACTCAAACCTAAAGCTCCAAAATTTGTTCAACCCTTCTGTTCCTTCTGTTGGATTCTCCATCTTCTAATAAATATTATTGTGCCAATGAAAGTGACTCAGCCAGACAACACTACAAACATGACAGAAAGAAATTTTGGATTGTGTTCTGTAAAAAAGACAGATTCATTTACACCCTTACTCTCTACATTCTTGTTTACCTTCCTTGATATTTTGTGTTTGGCACCCATGGCTTGGGCCAGTGGCTCCATAGTGTTCTTCCTGCAAAGACATAAGCAGAAAGTCCAATACATTCACACCAGCCTCTGTCCCAGAGCCTCCCCGGCAACCACTGCAATTCACATTGTTCTGCTTCTGGTGAGTTCATTTGTTTCCTTTTATTTCCTCTCCTCCGTCTTATCGCTTTATATGACTTACTTTGACAACACAAGCCTGGGCCTGATAAACACGAGTGTATTCCTAGCTGCTTGTTTTCCAGCTATCAGCCCCTTTGTGCTTGTAAGTTATGATACTCAAATATTCAGAACCTGCTTTGTCAGTTGTGGGAAAACTAAAACCTCTATGTAGTCCTTTTACAAACAGCCGTATTCATTCAACAAATTTTAAGCACCCAATATTCAATGACTGTGAGTCTGTTGACTTAACTAAAATGTATCCTGGTTATTTTCCAATGTGAGAGTTTAGTATTGTGATTTAATTTTATAAATGCATTTGTTATTTTCTCTTTTGAATATTGCCTTTCAATGCAGAAAAATATGAGTTTTCCTCTTTGCAGAAACTGCACAACCCAAGACAAAAGGGCTAGTTATGTTGACACTTGATATTACTCTAACGAAATGGCAGGACCTATATTAATAACCCTAATGGATGACCCGCTTCATAGTCTTCTTGTTCTAACATACATGGTTTGAATCAGCTTTTCAATTAGAATTTGAATTAAAGGCCTCATCCTTTAATGTGGACCAGCTAAAGACAAGCAGGCACTTGAAGAAATATTCTACCTTTAAAGAAACAGACAAAGATGAACAGATATGAAAAAAGGAACATGGAAGAAACAAAACATATTAAGGCAGTAGAATAACATTTTACAATTTGTAAGTAGTGTTGGTGAGATATGAAAATCTACTGTGTGCATATGGCAAGTGTAGGATGCTACTGAAGTGAATGATAGAAGACCAGAAAGAGCTTTTGAGAATGAGGAACATGACAGAAAAGATACAGTATTCAGTAGAATGCTTGGAAGATAATATGGAGCAACCTTTAGAAACTAGAAAGGAAAAGTACATTACTTAACAGCAAAACTTTTCCTGGAGGTGAATATCTGAACAAAGATATACTGGTAAATGAAATAAGGCACGTGGAGAAAGACAAATACCATATGATTTCATTTTTATGTGGAATCTAGAACAAAACAAAAAAACAAAACTATAGACTCATAGACACTGAGGAGTGACTGGTGGTTACCATGCAGGAGGAGTTGGGTTGAATGAGTGAAATAGGTGAGGGGATAGAGGCACAAAACCTCGATCATAATATAAGTTAAGGGATGAAAGTACAGCATAGAGAATGTAGTCAATAGTTCTGTAACATCTTTCTATGGCAGATATTAACTACAGTAGTTGAGGTGAGGATTTAATAATGTATATAACTGTTGAATCACTATGTGTGTACTTGAAATCAATATAATATTGTGTATCAACTATACTTTAATAAAATATCAAAAAAGATATGCCAAGGAGAAAGAAATATAAACATGGAGAAGAGAATAATATCAAATAAATTATACAAAATAGTTTGTCAGAGCTGAAGCATATCCACTTACAGACTGAAAGGGCCCATTTGTTTAATGGGACGTGAATTAAAATAAGCCCATTTCTAAATTTTAGAATATTGGAGAGAAAGATGATTCCTAAAGGACTCTTCCACACCTTACCCTGTTGTCCCTTCATTTGACCATTCCTGATTTGTATCTTTTACAATAAAGATGTAATCATAAGTATAATGCTTTCCCAAGTTCTGTGAGTCATTCTAATGAGTTATCAAGTCTGAGAGGTGTTATGGGAACTCCTGAGATTAATAGCTGGTTGGTCAGAAATGCAGGTGGCCTGAGGACCCCTGGAACTCGTGGCTGGCATTTGAAGTGGGGTCAGTGTTCTTTTTTTTTGGGGGGGGGGGTCATAATCTTAAACCTATGGAGTCTGACACTAACTCCAGTTGGCTAGTGTCAGAGTTAAATTGTAGTAAACCAGTTGGAGTGGTATCTTAATAAGCAGTTTCATAATGTGTAAATTCCTACACTTTGAAGATGTGTTTAGAGGTCTATCAGTGGAAATAGTGGATTAAGGACCTCCAAAATCCTTTCTTCATGAAAGCAATGAGAATATGGAGCAACCTTTAGAAACTAGAAAGGAAAAGTACATTACGAAACAGCAAAACTTTTCCTGGAGGTGAATATCTGAACAAAGATATACTGGTAAATGAAATAAGGCACGTGGAGAAAGACAAATACCATATGATTTCATTTTTATGTGGAATCTAGAACAAAACAAAAAAACAAAACTATAGACTCATAGACACTGAGGAGTGACTGGTGGTTACCATGCGGGAGGAGTTGGGTTGAATGAGTGAAATAGGTGAGGGGATAGAGGCACAAAACCTCGATCATAATATAAGTTAAGGGATGAAAGTACAGCATAGAGAATGTAGTCAATAGTTCTGTAACATCTTTCTATGGCAGATATTAACTACAGTAGTTGAGGTGAGGATTTAATAATGTATATAACTGTTGAATCACTATGTGTGTACTTGAAATCAATATAATATTGTGTATCAACTATACTTTAATAAAATATCAAAAAAGATATGCCAAGGAGAAAGAAATATAAACATGGAGAAGAGAATAATATCAAATAAATTATACAAAATAGTTTGTCAGAGCTGAAGCATATCCACTTACAGACTGAAAGGGCCCATTTGTTTAATGGGACGTGAATTAAAATAAGCCCATTTCTAAATTTTAGAATATTGGAGAGAAAGATGATTCCTAAAGGACTCTTCCACACCTTACCCTGTTGTCCCTTCATTTGACCATTCCTGATTTGTATCTTTTACAATAAAGATGTAATCATAAGTATAATGCTTTCCCAAGTTCTGTGAGTCATTCTAATGAGTTATCAAGTCTGAGAGGTGTTATGGGAACTCCTGAGATTAATAGCTGGTTGGTCAGAAATGCAGGTGGCCTGAGGACCCCTGGAACTCGTGGCTGGCATTTGAAGTGGGGTCAGTGTTCTTTTTTTTTGGGGGGGGGTCATAATCTTAAACCTATGGAGTCTGACACTAACTCCAGTTGGCTAGTGTCAGAGTTAAATTGTAGTAAACCAGTTGGAGTGGTATCTTAATAAGCAGTTTCATAATGTGTAAATTCCTACACTTTGAAGATGTGTTTAGAGGTCTATCAGTGGAAATAGTGGATTAAGGACCTCCAAAATCCTTTCTTCATGAAAGCAATGAGAACATTGGCCAAAATGGACAGAATCAATTATTTTCAGAACTTTAGAAATTAACTAAAGGCTTTCAGCAATTTGGGGAGTGTTTATTCAAGAAAAAGAGCAGAATACTGGTAAGAATAGTGAGTTTTGTGGCATTTAAACTTTTCCTATTCTGATCCTTTCCCTCTCAAGCTCCACAGTAGCCTTGAAAACCAACATCTCACAATCGTATGGTGAAAACCAGCCTTGTAGCCTGTGGATACAGGCTGTGTCTTGGAGAAGACACAGTGGGCTTGGAGCTCCTTAAAAGCCTGTTCCCAGAGAACTGTCATTATTTGACCTGTCTGTTGCTTCCCTGGAAGACCCACTCACAAGGCTGCCTTTATTTGACCTGACTATAGCTCACCTAGTATGCACAGCCTTTTCCCCAGGGAAATTTGTTGGAAACAATCAGCTACAATTGTTTAACATTACACTTCTTAAAGCAATGTATAACAGTTGGAAAATACACTAGCCAAAAAACTTAAAAGGAAAAGCTGGAGAATGTGATGTCTACAGGGGCCTTTGAAAGCCTCCAACATATTCTGGAAATCTAGAAGGCCATGTGCATGCACAGGGCTCTGTAAATTCTCAAGAATGACCTAGGTCGTGAATTCTCACCTCTGGCTAGCTGTGCAGCTCTGTGCAAGAGGAACTGTAGGCTAAGGTGGGATTGAAAATGGCTTGGTTGAGTGTTGAAGGTATGCCCCAACATTCTTAATGAATTCAAGTTTTATGTGTATTATAAAGTGATTTTACATGCACAGAAATATTGCAAAAACAGCACAAAACCCTTTTTGTTCAACCATTTTGGGGTAGGGCAAGAGTGTGTTTTTTCCTACATATGGAAAACAATAACAATATTATATACAGGAGTAATAGTAGTATAACTCCATTTGGGTTCCTGGACCCTATTCCAATGTGTGTAAGTATGTGGGAGAGGGTCTTCCCACACAGAACACCAAGCAATTCTCCAACACCAGCAGATGTCCGAGAACTCAACTCAGTTCTGATGGTATCTGCCCAGAGGCAGCACCAGATTCTCTAAATTAAGGGCTCTGTCCTACAAGACTGCTCTCCACCCCCCACTCCAGGTGCTGGTTGCAAGGCCCAGCCAGTTAACCTGTGCTTCTGACTACTGGTTACAGATTGGAGGGTCCCACAACCTCCCCTTGGGTTCAGTTAATTTGCTAAAGTGGCTCACAGGACTCTGGAAAACAGTATGTTTACCAGTTTAGTAAAGGATGCCATAAAGGATACAAGTTAACAGCTAGATGAAGAGAGACATAGGGCAAGGTCCCAAATAAAGGCGCTTCTATCCTTGTGGAGCTTGAAGCCTGGCTCGTTGGCTGTGGAGGGATTCTGATTCCCCAAGCTTAGAAGCTCTCTCTGACAGAGAAGCAGGATCGAAGGGAGCAGAGAGTGACAACTCTTCTCAGGGGTTTTTGTGAGGCCTTCACTGCACAGTTATGATTAACTAAATTATTGGCCATTGGCTGATACAACCTCCAGCCCCTGCCCAGGGTCCAAAAGTCTTTCATTAACATGACAAAACACTCATTTCACCTTTAAGACTCTGCAGTGTTTTCAGGAACTGTGGGTGCAGACCAACTATACCTGGGAAATATATATTTGGTCATATGAATCACCAAACTTGTATTCCTTATGACTCATTATATTGCAGGTAGTTGTTAACAATTCTCCCATCACTTCCTAATAAGCTAGCATGTATTTCCTATCAACAAGGACAGTTTCTTGCATACTGGTAGTGCTACAATCAGAAATAAATTTCAGCTCATTAGTAGCATCTAATATTCAGACTCCATTCGAGTTGCACAAACTATTCCAATAATGTCCTTTCTGGCAAAAAGATCCTCCCCAGAAGCAAGTGCTACCTTTAGCTGTCATGTCTTTTCAATCTTCCTCAATCTGGAAGAGTCAGTCTTTTCTTGACTTCATTTTTGAAGGTTCCAGATGAGTTGTTTCAGAGAATGTCCTTGAGCTTGAATTTGTCTGATGCTTACTCATGCTTATATTCAG